CCTTAATCTTTCTACGGTCTCCGATAGGAATTGAGTGAGAAACCCTAGAGAATTAGGAACTCTTTGGTGAATTGGGAATTGAGATTTGAGTTTACTTCTAGTGGATTGGGCCGGTTGAATTAGGCAAGTGGGTCAGGTGTTGGGCCAGTGTCTACTTGAGACAACTTTTACAAAAGAAATCAAACTAAATAGTGATGTTCGGGTCAACTTACTATCTCAACTAAGATAGAATTATTTTTTAGAAATAGCAAACGTAATAAGCATAATAAGGTTCTATAGCTATAGTTTTGATTATTGTGTTCCATAGTAATAGTTCTATTTGCTATGGAGGTTGCGGTTTGTATATTTCGCTTGTGATTATGCAAATAGGGTAAGTATATACAATTTTTGTATTTATACATTTAGGATTTTACAGAAACTCTATTTGTATATTTTGCTTGCCAACATACAAACATGGTAATTTAATATGATTTTACATAAATCGTATACAAATAGTTAGGGTAAGCATATACAAAATTTTGGATTTATACAATCAGAAAACGAATTATACAAATTCTAAATTTATACAAATCAAGCGAATTATACAAATCAGGTGAATAGCAAGAATTGTGGAAACTGTAGCTGCGAATTACAATTTTTTTAAACTGTAGCTATAGTACCTAGTATAGGCTAAATATTTGATATTCTGCATAATTTTCTCTGTAAAGAATTTATTGTATTTCTTCATTTCAATTTGACCTACTTCTTTTTTTGTCTTGTTTTGTAAAGAAAATTTACATAATTAGTCTTATTCTAACAACTCTTTAGTTTCAACTTTTCACACAAGATTAAAAGACATTTGATATATTTTTTATTTTGAACTATAAGATTCAAAAGTATTCTTTACCACAAAATACATGCTATTACTTACCGTAGCATGAATGTCATATGAAATCATTTATTCAAATCTGCGTAAAATCTCTAAATGGGATCTTCTTTATTACATTTAATAAGGGAGAAATAATTTCATCCAAATAAAAGTTTACATGCACTCGATGTTACACCAAACAAACAAATGCACACAACATATCTTTCATAAACGTGAACATTTAATATATGACATATATTAGACTAATATTTTCAAGTTATAGCAGTAGAACTAAACTTTCAAGTTGTAACATTAAAAAATTCAGGTTCTAACAGTTTATTAAAAAAAAAGTTATTTTTAATAATTGAAAACATTTGTTTTAAAAAAAAATTAAAATAAAACGTTTCTGGAATAAAAAAAGGTTAAAAACGGAAATAGGGATGTTAATTAGATTTGAGATGATTGAAGATAATTATTAATTAGCATGAATTAAGGAAATCAAACTAATTAAGAATATTCAGTTTCCTTAATTCACTCTAATTTGTTAAATTTAATTAAAATTCTGATCTTATCCAAAAAAAATTCTCCCACGTTTCTCTCTCTTCGATTTTCTTCCAGAAATCTTGTCACTGTCGACTAATTGAAGTTTCTTTTGTTTAAAAAATCTTGATTTTGTTGTGATGGACGACTGCGTATCAATATTAATTAGATATGGTGGAAGATGGGATCCTTCATGTTAGTATTTGTTATTGTTTATAATTTGTTTTTGTATTTCAGTGAAATGAAAAAAAAACCCAACAACAATGAAACTGTAAATCACATTGTGTGATTTTGTTTTTGTAAATCGTCACTATAGTTAATTTTTTAGTTTTTTTGTATAAACAAAACATTTTGTTCATAATACGTATTAATTGTTGTGAAACTGTAATATTAGTGACTGTGTTGGTAAGTTTTTTTTTTTTTTTTTTGTTTTTTGGTTATTTTGTATAATGTTAAAACGTTGATTTCGTGAAAAATTAGCACAATATATGAATGATTTGAGCATAAATGTATATCATATAAATATGTTTATCGTTGTAGATTGGGTTTGTAGATTAAGATTATAATATTGAATATTATTTTTTTTTCTAAAAATATAAATTAAATGTATAGTTTTGAATGAATTTGGTAGATAAATGAATGAATTTGGTATGAAAGTGTGTTCAATAATGTTTAAAAAAAGTTATTTAGAATTTTGAAGAAATGTATGAAAAGGTTTTAAAGTTGGTATAAAATTTGAAATTTTATTGTTTATATAAGTTTTGTCAATTGTGTATAAATTTGGTATGAGTGATGATTGTTTAAATGAAATATGTATTAAGTGGGTATGAAATGTGAATTTTTTATTTTTTTTTGAAATTCATTTTGTAGAATACTGTCTGAATGATATTTGTATGAAAAGATAATGATAAGTGTGTATAGTTTTGTTGTTATTATAATGAATTTTGTGGATGAAATTTATATGTTCTTTGGATGACTAATTGTTATTTTTTTTAATGAAACAGGGAAATATGTTGATTTTTCAGATGGAGGGGATTATACATGAATCTTCTAGTCTTTATAGTAGTCTAGTAAGTGCGATAATATCGCAGCTTATGATAGATGGTGATATTAATGATATAGAGATAAAATATATAGTTACTGATCGATGTCCACTTCTTAGTATCCACAATGACCAATGGGAAGTTGACATATTGACCGGTCCCAACCAAATCAAAATACAATTTAGAAATGGTTGTTTTGGAGGGCTCTAAAGCAGTAAAAAATGAAGTAATGAAGTACATAATGTCAATTTTAAGCGATCTTCAGTCTCAAAAATGTTAACATGTTTAAACTTATTGAAGAAGTCTAACTTAGGGACTTTGGTCATTTCCCCAAAATATTTTAGGATAAGTCTATTGGGAATAGACGGATCTGATAAAAAATCATTAAATAGTCCACATTTAAGACCAGTTATCGCTGTGAATTCCTTGATTCCAAAACATAATTCTGTATCGTTTATTTTCACAACAAACATGTCGTCTCTGACATTTTCAAATTCAAGAATCATCAAATGCCGCAATAGTTAACATTGAATCTTTATGTTGTGCATGTCATAAAATACACGAAAAGGTGTTTTTTTCCAGAAATTGTTGAAACCTCTCTTGCCCGAGGAAAACCAACAAATCAACAAACACATTCATGTTTGTACATGAAGACCAGTGTGTGTATCTTCCTTGCCTATATAATAAAATTGTTTATACTAAATTAAAACATACTTCATACAAGTATTATACAAGTTTCATTCCAGTAGTAACTATGATTTAAAGATAGTTATAATTAAATTATATCATATAAATTAAATAAAAAATAAATCAAAATCATAAAAACATTGATAAAAAAATATAAAAGTATGTTCATACAAGTATTATTCACGTTTCATACACATGCATATAGATAAATTTTAGTAATGCCTTATACCATATTTATAAAAAAAATTCACACCAATTTTATTCAAACATCATTCCATTTTCATGTGCACTGTGGCATTCATCAATCTACTTTCATAAATTTATAGACATACACTAAAAATAATTTAATAATTTTAATACATTAATGGATAAATTGAAAAAGAAACCTTCTTAATAGGAAAAGTTCCAATTTCATATAAAAATTATTCAAAATTTATACAAAAATAGAGTAATTAAACAATTCATACAACTTGCATACCAATTTAATAATTCATACCATATACACAATTAAGAGACAATCACACCAATGTTAAAACACAATTCATACCATTCACATATCAATATTGTATCAAAATTCATACAATATCCATCAATCAAACATTAAATTCAGATTCATACACTTTTTTTTTTTTCAGATTTCGAACAATTTTTACACAAACAAATATTTCGAAAACAACAATAAGCATAATGTGATATAAAAAAATTACTATTTTGACTAATGTGAAAATAAATTAAATATAGTACTTACCCTAACAACTTTTTTGTGTTTTTTGGATGTTGATATTTTTGATTCCTTCTTTTTTGTTGTTCTTCTTGTTGATGGTTTTGAAGATTGAGCAAGCAACTTCTACATTTGTTGTTTTTTTTGTTTTTTTCTTTTTGATTTCACTAACAAAATCAGAATCGTAATCAGAAGGGGTTTCAACAATTTTCTCCTTCCTTTCTTCCCCTTTTGATTTGCCTAGGTTGCCCTTTTCTTTGCTTCATTTTTTTTCTCTTTCCGATCCTTCAACTGAGATGAACCACCCGTCGCCTGATTTTCAATATTCGCCAGATTTTCAACAATTTTAGGTTGGGGGGGGGGGGGTTTGAGTTAATATATTGAAAGTTGGAGCATGAACTTCATCAATAGAAGTTCCTTCAATCAATCTAGGACTCTTTTGAGGCGTTTCAATGGGTTTCTTAGACATGATTTTGTTGAAAAACTTAATTGGACGGACGATTGTGAACATGGTGTAGTTGGCTAGTGAGAAAAATGGGAGAGACAAGGTGAAAGTGGGGTAGTGGGGGTGATGGCGTGTAGATTTGAATAGGCGTGGGTGGAGGGTGGTGGAATTGAGGTATGGGAGGTTTGGAGTGTAACAACAAACAAAGAAGTCTAATCTATGTAAATCCCTTAATATGTGTAACTGATGATTTCCATCTTAAAAAAGGAACTGAAATCAAATTAATTAAATATTATTAATTAATAATATAAAAATATACACAGATTAATCATTTATTAAATAAATTGAAATTGATTTTTAAATTAAATTAAATTAAATTGATATGTCATAACCCGTAAATAAACTGTTATAAGTAAGAATTGTTTAAAAGTATGTTTAAAACCCGTAAAATTTACTCTTAAATGTGTATATGGCGTGAATTTTCCTTCATAAACACATTTATATATTCTCATTTTAATCATCAAACATAAATTATTCGATTATATAAATATTAGGTACAACCTTTTTAAATTTCATATTTATTTCACCACAATCATTTTGTTTTTTAAAAAAAATTACTAGTTCTCCCATTTCAATTTTGTATTTATTTCCAAATAATAATGCATATTTTTTTATAGGAAAAAGAAAAAAATTTGTTTATAAAGAAATTCAAATCTATTTTGTGGTTTCTATTTCCCGACGTAAAACAATCAGCGACCAAACAAATAGCTGAGCAGAGAGATGGCTGCTCCGGCTGCCGAGGGTCTGGCTGTGACGGCGCTGCGGTCAGTGATCCACCGTGTCCGTCAGGCTGCTGAAAGGTCCGGCCGCCGTGCTGATGACGTGAGAGTGGTGGCCGTTAGCAAGACGAAGCCTATTTCTCTTATAACCCAAGTGTATGAAGCCGGTCACCGTTGTTTTGGTGAAAATTATGTACAAGAGATTATCCAGAAGGCTCCTGAGGTATTCATCTGTTTCCCTTTCAGCATTGGTAATGCTAATTAAGCTTTAGGTTGTGGCAAATTGTTCCCAAAATAGAGAAGAAAACTGATTCTTTTTGTTTAAAATGTGTATAAACAGAGCTGAATAGATATAATATAGTCGAATTAATTTGGGATTGAGACGTAAAAGATATTCTATCCATTCTCTTGAGTCAATTTGATTAATATTAGATCAATTCGATATTTTAAAATAAAAATTTAGATATACAAAAACTATACTCCCTTTAATTTAGAATCTTGTGGTGTTAAACCAAATATATGAAGAATGTACCAAATATTCTTTAATTATGTGGTTTTAAACATCTTACTTGTAAAGTTGAAATTAAAAAGTTGCCAAAAAGGTAAAGATGCCTTCTTTTTTAAATGGGCTAAAAAGGAAAGTAGGGCAAACAAATTGAAACGGAGGGAGTACTGTGTACTATAAGTTGCAATTATTCTCATGTCAATATGTTGAAAAGATATACTTCAAAATGTTGGTCAAAGTTCACAATTGTTGAATCTCGAGAGGGAGAAAGTGCCATGTAAATTGGGACAAATGGAGTAGTTGATTGTTGCGGACAGATTTTTCTCATTGTGCAATATTGATTATGTGCTGCTGATATGCAGCTTCCCGAGGACATAGAATGGCATTATATCGGGCATCTGCAGAGCAATAAAGCAAAGCAACTCCTGAGTACGGGCTCATCTAAGTATTTGTGCGATCTTTTGTTTTGTTATTATCCAATTTCCCTAAATTATCCATCAATTGACATCACTTCTCTCTCTCTACTTTTGTGGTTTTCCAACGAGAGGTTGGAAGTTGTGTGATGATACAACTGCACAACTAGTGGTTCAGTGGTACTCAACGAAGACTTCAAAATTTTGGATTCACCTCTTGTTGCAAGCATCTGTTTCTTCAATGATCCATGGGATCCTATATTTGGTTAATTTGATTCTTTTCCAATTGTGATCTTGGTAAAACACTAGTCTGTTATTTTGTGCTTAGGGCCTGTAAGGTAAGATTGAAGTGTCTAATTAGAGTGTACAAGCCTTTTTGTTTTGTATCCAAACAGGGCCAAGATCGTCTCTCGATGCTTAACTTGGTGAATTACAAGCCTGCATATTTTCTCTTGGATGTATTATCTTCTAATTCACTTTTATAATTTCAACTAGGAATTTGTTATTTAGTGCGAAGGACCTGAAAATTGTAAGTTGAAAGTTGAAGTGTCTAACAAGAACCCCCCTCCCTACTCTCAGGAAGCATTTCTGCTTGTATGTGTAAATCGGATAAGCATATCATATAAAAGTTGTCTAAAGTTTACCTCCATTATTGCAGCTGCTGTTCCCAATCTAGCCATGGTTCACGGTGTTGATAACCAGAAGGTAAAGATTTTACCTGTTTCTTAACGCTTGATGAGTAGTCTCTCTGCTTACAACAACAACAACAACAACATACCCAGTGTAATCCCATAAGTGGGGTCTGGGGAGGTAGAATGTGCACAAACCTTACCCCTACCCCATGGAGGTAGAGAGGTTGTTTCCAAAAGACCTCGGCTCAAGTGCATCAAGTCAAACGCACCTTGAAGCTTTAATAAGTTCGTTTGTTTAGATTATAGTCTCTTTAAATGCATATTATTTGTTGAATTGAACAAATTTGATCAATCATACAACACTTCTTCTCTACAGCTTGCAAACTATCTTGATCGTGCGGTTTCAAGCATTGGCAGGCAGCCCTTGAAGGTTTTGGTTCAAGTTAATACCAGCGGAGAAGAGTGTGAGTATATTTTCTCCTCATTCTTGCTTGCAGATCCTGAGGGAGACTAGTCGAGCTTGACAGCAACTCTAGTGATTAGGATCTACAAGCCGTGGAAGAAACCACTAACCATTGCATTAGGGTAGGCTGTCTATATCACACCCCTTGGGGTGTGGCCCTTCCGCGGACTCTGCTAGCACAAGATGCTTTGTGCACTGGGCTTCCCTTTTTAAGCTATTTGGTTGTTGGTATTTTTGTAGCAGTATGGTTTAGGTTATGAAAGGTTTCTAACGTTGCTTCAAGTCCTCAGATTACTGGTTAACCTGCAGGTGAAATCTCACCAAATTCGAATCTGAGTTGTTAGATTTTTTCCCACTGCTTGTAATGTGTGTTTGATCGAATTGTACAATGCTTTTTTTTTTATGACGTTCAAGGCCAAAGGACTCCAATCATTCTACTTCCGAAGGAACTGACAAATTTGTTAATTTTTTTAACTATATGCAGCAAAATCTGGTGTTGATCCATCTAATTGCATAGAGCTCGCCAAACATGTCAAGCTGGATTGCCCAAACCTTGAGTTCTCTGGCCTAATGACAATTGGACAGCCTGACTACACTTCAACCCCAGAGAACTTCAAGGTGATATTCTGTAATGAATCCGTAATTCAGTTGTACGTGAGTCATGACATATAAGAATTCTTAGCTCTCTCAACCGTTTGAAGATGTCCCATCCTTTACTAATAAAAGATGCAAAGGAGAACAGTTGTAAATTACTGAAAGCAAACATTTTTTCTTGATAACCATGGTGTCCGGGTAAGCTTGTGTGCACCTCGACTAATTCCATGAGGTACCTGCTACCTCCCAACCAGCGCAGATATTGGGTATCTCTGTCCATCAAGGCATGGACAGATTGGAAGAAATCACCTAGTGTTGAAAACTGACCTTTTTCGTCAATGTTAATAGTCACCTAAACAATTTTCGTCATAGTTATGGGGAATTCCCTTTCCTTAGTTTGACCTTTATGTATAATAGAGGGATGTTTTTCTTGTGCCAAGTATTTTTTGGGTGAAGCTTGTGCTAAGTATTTTTTGTATATGGAATCCTTGAGAAGTTTGTTATCGGATGAATAGTTTTGAGTCATGCATATTGGAAGCTTCATGACAAAAAAGGTTCATATTAACTCCATCAAATTTCCCAATTTCTCCAAATTGCTGCTCTCCATTTATGTTGTTGTGCTAAGTAATTTTAAGAAGTTTGTTATCAAATGAATAGGTTTGAGTGATGCATTTGGGAGCTTCATTATAAAAATGCTCATACTCCATCAATTTTCCCCATTTCTCCAAATTGCTGATCTCCATTTTTCTTGTTGTAATGCAATAGACGCTACTGAATTGTAGAACTGAAGTTTGCAAGGTTCTTGGTATGGCGGAGTCTCGATGTGAGTTGTCAATGGGCATGTCTTGTGACTTCGAGCTAGCGGTAAGCTGGTCTTGTCTTACCTTGTCATAAAAATCTGATCTCTTCATCCTGAAAAGTTGATTCTGATTGAGAGAATCACTTCTGATAAATTTCCTTTGCTAGTTTTATTTTTGGCATAATACATAAATGTGCCCTTTAACTTGGCCTCATTTTACGTTTATGTCCTCCAACTTTGGATATGCACAAGTAGACACTTAAACTTGTATAAAGTAGAACAAGTAAACACACGAGTCCTACATGGCACAATACACGGGACACCACGTAGGACAAAAAATGACATGTAGGATGCCATGTAGGACATGCGTGTCTATTTGCTCAACTTTATACAAGTTTAAGTGTCTACTTGTGCACACCCAAAGTTGAAGGGCATAAATGTGATTTGAAGCCAAGTTAAAGGGCACATTTATGTATTATGCCTTTATTTTACTGCTGCTTTTGTCATGTGAAAGCAGGCAGACCCCGTCCATCTCTTGATTGCCCTTAAGTTTCCATAGCTTGCTAATGCAAAAAAATATTTTCCTCCGCGATTTATTTTTCTCGTATTGTGAACCAAAAACAAGTTTTGGAATCAGTTGCATCTGTTCGAGCTGGCCATGTAATTCATTTTTTCGCTTTTCTGCCAAATGATTTCCTAATATATATTGTTGACTATTTGTGTAATCTGTGTTGTTCCTGAAGTAAGCATGTAATTATGAAAAATATGAGTTGGTTCTATTTTACTCATTTAAAGGATATATAAGCTGCATTTGGAAATTGCTTGTTAAGAGAAGTAGACGTATTATGTGTTGATTCTTTGTCATTATACTGCAGATAGAAATGGGCAGCACCAATGTGAGAATTGGATCCACCATATTTGGACCTAGGGAGTATCCAAAGAGACAATGAAATCAGTATGAACTTCATCTCATAGAACCATTCACGAAAGCAATAGGGAGTGAGTGAGGCCTTTCTGAATTTACGCACAATCAGGGAGAAAAATGAAGCAGCGATGACAAGAGAAAGATGCTATTGCTTCAAATCTGAAGCCCCATCATACTAGAAAGTTATGTCAAAATTGTTTTACTGTTGAATTGTTTTTATATTTTTAGAACAGGACTAAGTGTCCCTTTACTCTTGACTTGCCTTGATTCACCTGGTCTTTTCTTTTCCGAAGCTTTGGATCTGTTACATAATACATAAATTACCACCCTTGATAAAGAGAATTAAGATGGAGAAAAATGAAGATGTCACTGTAGTTACTTCATTCTTTGTCCTTTTATTTGTACTTCAGTTGCCACACACACATGCATAATCGCATTATTAGAATTTTTACATGATTTGTAATATCCATTAACGTATTGCCTTATTTTATGATGTGTTATGGAGTTGTTTGCTAAATTTTGCATGTGAATTTTTGCTTCACTTTCTGTATTGGGTAGAAGCTGGTGGATTGTTGACAAAGTAAATAAACCCACATGTTAGTGATTAGTATCCTTCACAAGACAATGCATCACATTTATATTAGTGACGTGAGTTTCTGACTTCCGGAAACAACCTCTCTATCTCTACGTGGTAGGAATAATGTTTGCGTATACTCTACCCTCCCCAGATTCCACTTGTGGATTTCACTGGTATGTTGTTGTTGAGACTTCAAGATGGAGAATTTATTTTCAAGTATGACTCATTGACTCCCTTTCTTTTGTCTCATGGTTCTTAAGTTCTTAAAGGTGTTTTTGCACTATTTATGTTTTAAAAGTAATTAATGTTGCTCTGTTTTTCTTATTAGGGTATTCATTATTTTGAGCTAGAAACTGTACTCCTTTTTTTATGATTTCACATTTGTTGGTTAAGCTTTATTACATGATATGTCTGCATTATATGCGAGAAAATTTTCATTCGTGGGTGACATTCGACAAAGCAACCTTGGTATTCAGCTTCAAGTTGTATAGTGGACAAAAGGCGCTACTTTGCTCTAGGATTAACTATGCTGGTAACAAAAAACAAGCAGGTTTTCCATGATGTGATGCTTAATCACTATGAAATGTGACAACCAGAATTGAGGCATGACCATAAGTGAAAGGAGGAAGAAACACACATCATATCTCTCTCTTATTGATATGAAATACAGGGTCGGCTCAATGCTAAATGCCTTTAAAAATGAGGCAACCGTCTTAGACCCCCAAATTTGAAGGGCCCCCATTTTTAATAATAATAGAATTATTATAAGTATTTTTTAAACAAAAAAAAATATATTTTGTCATTCTTTTAGTTTGTTTCGAAACATTAAAGAATGTTTCTTTTTTTTTTATCAATTTTTAAATTTAACTTCCACATGACATGTTTAAGATCACAAAATTAAAAAATATTTTGGTGTATATATATATATATAGAGAGAGAGAGAGGTGTCAAAAATGAACCAAACATAGGTAACCCTCCCAGAATTTTAAGGGTTGGGCTCAAGATAATTTGAATTGGGTTCAATCTCAACCCATTCAAGCCTAACCCATTTTAAGAGAATCCTCAATTGAGCCCAATTCAATCTTCAATTTCAACCCGTTTTAAAACTTTTTACTAAGATATGTTCCTATATTAAAGGCATGAATTATTATCTATTTAACATCTTTTAGGATTTATCTATCCATTTGTTACTTTTTAAAATAAAAATAAAAAATTGAGCTGAAATTCGAATTGTGATTATAAAAGTTAAATATCACTATGTTAAAATTATTGAGATTAATCGGGTCAAATTGGACGGGTCAAGACCCAACCCATTTTTTAGTACATTTGAACCCAAAGTAAACTTGGGCGGGTCAAAACCCAACCCGATTTCTATTTCAACCCATTTTAATATCTCAAATTTCAACCCAACCCGCCCATTTGACACCCCTATATATATACACTTAAACTATATATATATAGTTTAAGACCATAGAAAAAATAAAGCTTAATAACTTTGGATTTCAAACATAAAAGCTAGGCCTCCTATTATTTATATTTGGCTTTAAGGCCACTAATTTGCTTGAGCCGCCACTGATGAAATATGAAATAGGTGTATTAATATGAAATTGTTATATTTTGATTTATGCTTATTAATGTTGATTTGATAATACGATCGGGTTCACAATAAATTCAATGGGAAGATTTTTGTGGTGGCGAAATCTCAATTGGCTGAGCTACTTGTTGAGAAAGGCGAAAAAGGTTGGTTGACACTTGAGTTGCAAATTCAAAGATCATGTGAATAGAGGAAAACTGATTAGTATGTTTATTTCTTCATATTTTGAACTTTCTCGTTGAAAATTTTGACTCCGGCATTGAATTTGAGTTGTGGTTCTCACTCATCAGTTTACCTTTTTAAGATAAAATGTATGTCTAACTCTAACCTAAGTGTCTATAAATCATCATTCCTCATTCAAAACAAAACTTGAACTTTTGTTTGGTTGAAATCCTCTTTTCAGTTTCAGTTTGTCCTAAAACACATCCTAAATATTCCATCTATAGTACTATAGAGGAACACTGTTCTTCCTACCGCGGAACAGAGATGATGTGATGCAATTGCTACTTTACATCGAGCACCCATGTGTATTGTAGAAAAAACTTACTCAACACCGTTTATCTTAGTCAACTATTGCGATAAAAATCTTCTCTTATGCAAATGCGACGAACATATATAAATAGGCTTTTTTGATCTGATACGAATTCTCAAAGGTATTTGTACACTGAGTCTTTTTCTACAGAAGGGCAAACCAAATGTAGGGATACTACATTGAGTGGCAAAAGAAACATTCAAGCTTTCTTTGCACAAATCTACTTCAAATGTTACTTTTACGCATCATTACAACAAAAGGTATTCTGCTTCTGCTTCTCACTTGGGACTGAATGCCTGAAAAACACAAGTAGAAACAACTTTAGTATCTTGAATTGTCGTCAAACTGTGTTAAGTCAAATAGTGTCACATAAATTGAAACTGATGGAGTAAATGATTATCAGTGTAGTAGGTCCAGATTTTTTTCAAAAGAATGAGCTATTAGTTAATAAAAACAGAGTGTAAAAATATAGTTTCTCCATGCTGCATTTAACACCATTTGATTCCAATGTTTAAAAATATAGTTTCTCCATGTAAGTCTAAAACAACAACAATTTCTCTGGTTTGAGTTTTCTTTCAAACCAAACAAACGACACATACTCCCCCGTTTCAATTTGTTTGTTTAGTTTTCACTTGACACATCATTTAAAACATTAAAAAAGACTTTCGACAAAGAGACATTCTTTTTAAATAGAGTAAAAAGGAACGTAAGACAAATAAACTGAAACAGAAGGAGTACTAAAATGAGGTTGTACTTACAGCAAAAATAGTGGCATGACCAGGATCAGCTAGGTGAGCAAAGAGGTTATCAATAGGGCCTGTTCCAGTGTAAATGTGTTGGAACCATGCACCCATAACGGCTAACATAGCAAGTCTACCGTTCTTAATCTCCTTTGTCCTCAACTCCTTTATCTTTGCAGGTGAACCCGAACCCCAACCCAAGGGATCAAACCATAAACCTCCTGGATAACCAACGTCTGTCCCCGTGAGCTTGTTGTTAGGGAAGATTGGGTCTGTGTTAACGCATCCAGGCTTGATGATATCTGCCCATCTTCTTCCCTCAGCCCAACCTATAAGTACCAATTCAACGATGAAGAGAGTCGTTGTGTCGGTGAAATATTCTTGTTCACCAGCAGTGTACCATGAAGGTGTGTTAAGGATTCCAATTTTTGTGAGTAATTCTGGAATGAAAATTCCTGCAGCTCCCAACATTGCCCATCTGCAGTGTACAATTTCTGCCTGTTGGTTCCATCTCAAGCTCTCTGGATCAGATCCTGTACTCAAATGATATATATCCACAAAATGATGATTAGTTAATGATATATATGTATGAATAGTGCGTCGAACATAAAACTTGTGATTGGTAGTAAAACAAGGATTCGCTCGTTGAGACCTAATTCGATCTTCAAAGAATTCTAGAGATATTTTCTTACGAAGTTAGAACTTTCCCATTTTAATTTGTTTGCCTAGTATTGGTTTAGAAAGAAGTTTAAGAAAGTAAAATAAAAAATCGAATCTTTTGGTATTAAACTAAAAATATATAAAATGTACTAAAATACTCTTTAATTATGTGATCTTAAACATGTGACATGCCACGTGAAAGTTAGAATTAAAGAGTTGTGAAAATAATATTCTTTTTTAAAACTGATTAAATAAAAAAAAAAAACAAATAAATTGAGACAAAACGAGTAAATGGATATATACCGAGGCCAAGAGGATCGAAACCGAAGTCTCCGGGAAGGCTGCAAGGCGAAGAAGCAAAATAAACTAATTTCAGCATATAATCAAATACAAGTTAATTAAAGATTGAATGATTACGAGTTTAATATCTGATCTATCACGAAAATGAATAAAAATAACCAAAACACATTTAGATTATTCTGATTTTTTCGAGTTTCATTTATGAACTATCATGTGTGAATTTCTTAACTAAATTATCATTAACTATTTATTGAAGCATACATCAACGGCCAATTATTTCATTTTCTGACCTGAATGATCATAGATGGAGCCACAATTTGAAGTTTAATTTTCTTTTTTAAATTGCTTGTGATCTAAATCAATAATTTGTATATTCAATGAAGTTCTTTCGACAAATATAGAATTAAGATCAAAGCTATAAGGTTCGATCGAACCCGTAATTAGTACATTGGCTCCCCCATAATAATGACAATATTTCACAAAGAAAAGGAAAATAATTAGTAGTTGTAATGTGTTTTACTAATATAAATAGTCGGTTCATATAAAAAAGATACATAAGTGTGTTTTTTAACTTGACATCATTTCACAATTATGTCCTCCAACTTTGAGTGTGCACAAGCAATAACTTAAACTTGTATAAAATTGAATTAGTATATGTATGAGACCTACATGACA